ACTTGTGTCGTCAGGGTCAGCATCTAATTATTATTAGCTGGACATAGTAGAAATAAGCTAGAATTGATACTGATTTGTTGCCTCTGAAGGAGAGATTATTAGAAGCATCTCTTCCTTTAGTCTATGAATCACAACCCGACCTAATGAGATGGTTGGCCTGTTCACTTCATTGAGCTTAAACCATTAACCCAAAATGCTTAGGCCCAAACTAACAGTAGTTCACCCATTAGAGTCCTATAGGTAAATCCAATTCTTTGCCTACTCCTAATGTGGGATTAAACTAAGGTGTTGCAATCTCCTTAAGAGCTTGATGCCTTCGCACATTATACCCAAGAATTAGACTCTATCATGGTGCATACGAGACATAACTCAATGATGCTATGTAGTGATGTGCCTCCTAGCCCTGACTATGGGTAGTCCTTTCCTACTCGAGCCTCTCATCATTGAGATAACTAATGAGATAACTAATCCATTAATTTCGTTGATCCTGAATCATCGAACCAAAGTTAGTTAAAATCATGAGATCTTATAAGTCTATCAAAATCCTATTCTTTCATGGTGATTTTTTTCAAATAATATCTTTCAAAATAATATTTTTTTTTTCAAATAACGTCTTCTGAAATAAGATATTTTAAACTGCCTCTACCTTTGATGATCTCTCTCGATGTGGACTAAGTCGGGGTCTTATAGCAGGTTATAATGGAAGAGAAGGGAAAAGGAAACAACTAAAGATGAGAGAAAAAATAATATTAGCCTTATATTTGTTTTTAAACATTTTGTAGGATTGTGTTGGTTTGTTATCAACTAGGAATGATGTAATTATGATTGTCAGGTCAGATCGCATCAACACGATTGGAATAAACTGAAATAATTTATAAAATGTGATTTTAGATCGGATCAGTATCAACTAGGGATGATACTGACAAAGATCAAACGTCTTGTATCCGAATTGTTGATGCCACAACTATAATTGAAGTTGTCATTTTACAATATGCAATAAAATATAGAAGCTAAAATATTGAAGGATATAGGTATAAAATTATGTTGGATTATTTTAGACCATGTTGAATTTGGAACCTTAGAGACCTTATTCATCTATCCTAGGCTTGAGCATTAGTATTGTAAGGCATTAGGAATCATATTAATAGCCAATGATTTGAACCTGAGATTGGGTAACTTAGGCTTTGAAGCAAGGTAGGCAATACCGAATGATACCGCCTGATACGGGCGGTATGTACCGGTCCGACGGCATATCGGTATGCGGACCGCTCGCTACCGGACGGAACGAAAAAAAATAATAAAATAATATATATATTTATATTTATATATAAATATTTTAGAAAAAGGCGACGTCGTCGAGGCAATGCGACGTCGTCTTTTAAATAAAAAAAAAAAAAATATATATATATAATCTTATATATATATATATATATATATATAAATTTATATATATATATATAAATGAGGCGATGTCGCCCCGCTTGGGAGAAGAGAGAGGCGACGTCGCTTCGGTGTCGTCGTCGAGTTATATATATATATATATATACCGAACAGTATACCGCTCGGTATACAGTTTTGTACCGTACCGTACCGAGCAAATGTCGAAACTCCGGTACGGTATGAAATTGTAGACCTTGCTTTGAAGGATCTCCAGAAGTAGTTGTTGATAATTTTAATGTATATAATTGGCTTTGTAATGTTAATGTATTTTAAATAATGTTTATAAAATAATTTTGGATGCTTCTTGCTTATCTTTCTATTAATTATCATAAATTTGAGCCCTTTAGGCCATTTTCATGTACTATGATTTGAGTGGTAGCCATGTCAGACACCAGGATCAATCTTGAAGTTTTTTCTTTGGAGAGAAACAATGAGATGAGTGTAAGGTGTGTTCTTGAAAGGAATGAGCAGAGGATAAGAAGCCATATCTTCTTTATTATTATTATTATTATTATTATGTTACATGTGATTTGACTTTCTAGAAGCCAACTACTCTCAAGACCGAGTTTGATGTGGGTTGCTACAAGCAATTTAGAAAGAAGAATTAGACTGAAATGGGCTAACTGTATAACACAGTTTTTAAGCTTTCTTTGACTTTATAGATACATGGTATGTATTACTTTATACATGTTAACGCAGTATAACACAGTCAGTTTAAAAACTTTCTTTGACTGTATGACACAGTTTGTATAGCACAATTTATATGCTTTCTATGTATTGATACATGTAATGTATTACTTCATCATTGCATTTTTGTATTTTTCTTGGTAGATTGATATTTTAAATGTAAATACAGGGTTTGCACCTTAATGTCTTGATGCAATATAGATCATGTGGAGGGTGATATAGGGTTCCCTAAAATGATCTAGAACACTTCATGATAAGGCTTTAAGGTTAAACAATAAATAAGGTTGAGGGAGAAGGAGAAGAGATGTAATTTTTATTAATTTCAATGAATTCTACGTGTACCTTCTCTACAGGAATTTTGTGATTCTATCGATTTGCTATGGGAAGGCTTATCATTTGGAGTTGAATTCCTAATGGCTTAATCTCCCTTCAGTCAAATACTTTTGAAAGCAGAATTGTAATTGCTAACTAAAAGATAGTACTGTTTTTAATTTTCAAAATATAAAGACAAAAAAAGAATTTGTTTGGAGCCCAGTAGACTTTAACTCAAATAGAACATTAAACCTAACCTAACCAACTAGGGATACACCTCTCATTGCCCATAATATATTATTTTCATAGTGATTTCATTTCTGAATTAATGCTTTCATCAATAATGTTGCTTTTGCTTAGTTTTGGGATAGGCTTGCTGGTGGAGATGATTGCTGCATGGCACCTTATTCTCCTCAGTTGGACTAAGGGAGCATCACCTAGGAGAAGATGCTTTTTCCCACAAGATAGAACACAACTAAAGAGATGTTTGAATGGTTCCCTTGGTCCCTCTCTCAGATGCTCAAGTCAGGCAGGTGAGGAAAGAGAGACAACAACACTAAAACTTAGTCTTTTTGTAGTAGTCATGTACCCTCATCAGTGTGAGGAAGCCTACTTATCTAGGAGAGCTTTGCCACTAGCATGAGGGCCTTAAGTTAAATGGCTGACCAATTCTTGGTTAATGGCTATCCTTGGCAGAGGGTATAATTCAGGTGGTGTAGGTGTTTAAGTAAGCCCAATGACAAGTATGGTAGTTAATCTTTGCTTTGACCAATTGCTCATTCGGTGATGTTAGGACATACCAAAGGCGCTATGGGTAGCGCACTGTTTTTAAAAGGCGCTTGGGTGCTTGCTTGAGCCCAATCGTCGGGCACTTTGGGTGAGCGCCTGAGTTAATCTAACAAGTCAAACCAAAATTTGGACTTTGGTTCGATTCAACATTGACTCAATTGGTACAATCGAACCACCTAAGTCCCATAGTAAACATCGAACACACACCAACGCCCAACCGCCACGCCACCCCCCCCTCAACTCGCTCGGTATACCCTAAGATCTGTCGTTGCGTCCTCTGCAACCGACGGAAAGGTCCAATCTTCTTCCTCCATCGCCAATATAAAGGTCCGAATCTTTCTCCTTTGTTGTTGCTTTTTTCTTGCATAGCTCCCTCTATCGTCGAGGGACAAGTCTATAGCTTTCTCTATCGTTGATGTCGTTGTCCACAACTTCCTCCATCGTCGCCTGAAGGTTCCTTCGTCATCGCCGTCCTCTCCTTTCCCACCTTCCACCATCGATGACTCCTCTTCTCCCCGACTGTGCACTGCTATATAACTATTGTTAATAGTGGATTAACTATTGCTAACAATGGATTGTTAATCCTTAGAACTGATATTAAAACTAATGTTACCTACCCTTATCATATTTTATATTATATATTTTAAAATTATATTATATATATTTTTTATATTTTAATATTCTAGAGCATGTTGTATCATTCGGTCCTACGCAAGCGCTTAGTGCCTCAGGTGTTTTGGGACCTTGGCACCTTTTGCTAGCGCTTTTAAAAACATTGGGTAGCAAGCATGATGTTAGCAAAAATGGTGCATTGTTGTTCTGCCCGATGTGCCTGTTTGATGAGTGTGTTAGCTACGAGCTGCTTTGTAGAGCTTCATGGACAAGCTTCCTAGAGTTGGTCTGATTTGATAAATGAGCCATAAGCTTGATTAGAGTGCCATGTAGGCCTAAGAGATGCGGGTGAGGAGCCCATGTTTTTAGCTGGCCGCTCTTGAGCCCTTGGATTCTGGAATAGCTTCTTGAGTCCAAGTTGAACTAGGACTTTTCAATGAGCTGGATTTCCTGCTTGCTATGTCAGGTGGATCTAGCATGGCAAGGATGTGGCAGCCTGGTGGGATACCGTTCAACAACCAATATGGTGATCTGTGTGTTAGCAACATGGCAAGCATGATTTGTCATTGTTAATAAAAGTAAGATTTTTGATGTTGGAAAATAGTAGAATATGGTTTTTAAAATTACTGTATTATCTGGTTTGAAGGACAGTGAAATGATAACTGTATGTTATGATAAAAATTAATGGCACTCTAACTAGATATTACAAAGGATGTGCTTTTTTGTTCTCCATTCCCATATCAGACGAAAAGAATATATGGCATACATTTTATATATATTAATGCGTGGTAATTAAGAAATTCTGTATGACATTCATATTGAATCTTAAAGTTAGTCAGTCGGCGAGTACTTTTATCCAATTTTCTTACTGAACTGATGAGAAATATGCAGTAGTTGTGTTTTAGTAGCAGGATTAGGTGAGTTAGGTATAATTTAAATAGCCAACTTAGGTGGTTTTATTGTCTTTTATTTGAAAAAAAAAAGATGATGTATGAGAACTTGTCAATGTCCCTTGATACATTTTCAGTTATTATCAGATTGTTGTTGTGTTTGGTCTTAAAATCTCATATACATTTTTTACCTCATTGTAAATTGCATAGTAGTGGATACACTTTTTTAACATTATAGTATAGTTTTTGATACTCTTATTATTATTCCAGCGGAATCTGATCTTGAATCAACAGAGTCTGATGAAGAGTTCCAAATCTGTGAAATATGTAACAATGAAGAGGTAGCATGCCTTTTACTGAATCTTTTGTCCTGTTGGTTTAAACATTTAGCTGATGCATTACTTATTATGTTAGGAGAAGAAACTGTTGCTTCGGTGTTCCTGTTGTGCTCGACTAGTCCACCCTGGTTGCTTAGTTCCCCCTTGGACAGATTTAGTGTCTGATGATTGGTCATGCTACTCGTGCAAGGAGAAAACTGACGAATACTTAAAGGCAAGAGATGCATATGTTGCTGAACTCTTGAAAAGGTACACTATTGGAGGCCTCAAGTGGGTTTAAGTTGAATATATGGTAGTACCCAGTGCACTTATTATTTGGGAACAGGTATGAAGCTGCACTGGAGCGGAAAACAAAGATTTTGGATATCATCCGGTCCTTGGACTTGCCAAATAATCCCTTAGATGATTTAATTGATCAGGTCTTTTTTCTCATCATAGACAAGCTCAGAAAGGTGGTCCTTGCATTATGTGCTTGAATGATTGGATTTATTGATTAGTTTTTTGCACTATTTCTTGTTGTCAATGCTATTCTGCCTGCAATTCAGGGGTTTTTTGTGCTAAACTTGTCTTTCTTTGAATGCGATTTCATTCGTTCCTGAGATTCCTTTTTTACTTTGGTTGCTCTTTTATCAAATAGTAATGCTAATTCATTGAACAATCAGTATCCTAGTGATTCTTTCTTAGTTAGCATATGCTTTATTGTTCTTATCCACATGGGGTTTATGTTAATTCAAGTTGACATAATTTACACCTATTATTTATTGTATTCTTGGGTCATCTATGTGTATGTCATATATAAACTGGCGTCAACTTGGTTTTCTTTTAGATATTCCTAAACCTCGTGCAAGTTGATAATAAGATTATATATCTTCAGTTGCCACAACTAGAAGCCATTCTAACCAAATAACTTGTTGTAACTGGTAAATAGAGGCTTGTAGTGATCAGTATCGATGTATTTCATAGCATTAGAATGGCATTCTGGATTATGGGCTATGCTTTGAATCAGGAATTATCTTCAATCATGTTGATGACAAATAATGCTTTAAGAAGAAAAATTCTTGGGGTTTGGAAGAGAACTTTTATCAACTTGCCATAGAAGAAAGGCTTTTTAATGATCTTCCCAAGCTGTATAAAAGTCTAAGATATGTTTCTTTGTCAATTAAGGTTCTTATCTCTTCGATATGGAAACCTTCTATTAATATTCTACAGCATCATTTGACAAATTTCTTACTCTTTTTTGAGTTTGCTATTCCTAGATGCCCAGTTTTGAACAAACTTAAATGCTGTGTGGAAATGGGAAAGTTAACTTGGGCCATACTCTGGGCAGAAACAGCTGAATACCTGATGTTACTTGCAACCACCATGAAGCCAAGATAGAGCTTTCTCCACTTGAGCTAGAACCTCTGCTACTGTACTCAGATGTTATTCCATTAGGGCTCATTATGGGTTGGAGGTTGGAGAAGATGGATTTATGGCATAGCATTGCTAAGGGGAACTTGGGTTGAGTCGGTTAACTATCGATATAAAACTGACTGAATTTGTTGCTAGACTGGATGACTTACTTGATCCAGGGCTATGAACTGAAAAGAAAACTTGGAGGTATTATTTCATTGCCTTGTTTTTACCAACCCGGGAGTTAACTATGTCTCTGTGAAAAGTATTAAAAGCAAGGATCGAAGGTGTTGATTCTTAATAAGAGGTATTGTAATGGAATCTTCCTTTTATTAAATTTTTTGGATGTGATGGCTAGTTTGCTGATAAAGTCCTGAACAGTTCAATGCAAGAATATGGTATTGTATCCAGCCTCCACCAGTCATGTATTAAAGAAAAAGGTTAACTTGTAGTTTGGCTGGTAAATTTAGGGTCTGAATATAATTTCGTATAATATGAGGTTTAAACTGTAAGATCATGAAAGTAGAGGGTTCAAAGTGAAGTTATCTACCGTATTTGTTGATATCTTGCAATATTTTCATGTGGACAGTTTGCAGTCTTGATGTCATAATCAAGTATGTCTTATTTTGTTCAAATTTTAAGTTTTCTTAAAGGTAATGAGTCAGTTTATGAACTACTAAGCCTTTTGTAGCTGGGAGGACCAGAAAATGTTGCAGAAATGACTGGCAGACGAGGTATGCTTATCAGGACTTCTGGTGGAAAAGGTGTTATTTATCAAGCAAGGAGCACGTAAGAATGAGTTTGCTTGCCATGTATTTTTTTGATTATCTATTTTCTTTCGGACTCTTTCCATACTTGCTTTTGTAGGAAGGAAGTTGCCATGGAAATGGTTAATATGCATGAAAAACAATTGTTTATGGATGGCAAAAAATTGGTTGCTATAATATCTGAAGCAGGATCTGCAGGTGTATCCTTGCAAGCTGATAGGAGGGTACTAAATCAGGTATCTGAACTGGGAAACTTTGGATGCTCTCTCTTGTGCAAATATTTCTCGAATTTCTCATTTCTAAGTATTACATGTATACGCACATGCCAGAAAAGGCGGGTCCACATCACTCTTGAGCTTCCCTGGAGTGCTGACCGTGCAATTCAACAGTTTGGTAGAACTCATCGCTCTAATCAAGCTTCGGCACCACAATATAGGTAACCTTTATATGATTGCTAAATTTATTAAAGTAGAATTCTGGTCAGTCAATTTTTTTTTTGGTTTATTTCTTCAGCAAGGTCGATGTGCTTCGTGCCTAAGATTAGGCATCAATCATTTTCTTTTTCTACCATGGCAGTGCTTACAAGAACCTTTTGGGTTCCAAATTGTTGTCGAGGCTAACGTCTTTGTGTCAAGACACCTAAATAAACACCAGCCATGACACCTAGAATGAAAGTTTTCGACTACTCTTTCCTCCAAATAAGGACCTTCAGTTTTGTGAAAATGCTTGACACTCGATCATACTGTAGCTCTATGAGTGATTGAACAATGTATAAACAATTCACATTAACAAAATTGAATAGTTTGCAAGCAGAATTGCATTACATTTAAGTAGCTTGCAAGTATAGTTGCATTACATTTCAAATATGTAACAATTGCTAGTCCATGTTTTTAAATTTATTCGATCAAGTTTGGTTTATTGTACAAGCTCAAGAAACTCATCTCATTGAAAATAAGAAGCATTTCTGTGAGCTTTATCTTCAATTGCATCTCATATATTCTGTCTTAGTCATATATTCAGTCTTAGTTCTACTTAGGGTGTGCTGGTTGGCCGACGGCACGACATGTGCTGCCTTGTATTAGCGTGTCGAGTGTTGGTATGGTGGGGTGTGTTGATGGCATAGAAAAAAGCCCAGAAAACCTCGAAAAAATCTGAAAAATAGAAAAAAAACTTAGATTAGGTTTTTTTATTTGGAACTAAATGTAAGTTTAGTATAATTTCATCTAAAATCATCTAAATTAGGAAGAAATAGCGGCACACCTTTTTCAGGCTTTGAGGTGCAACGTTGTGTTACTTTCTGAACCATCCTTTCGTTGATATTGAATTATCTACAAAGATATGACTTGAATTAGATTATGAGTTAAACTTTAAGATTCAAATGAATCAAGTAATAAATGAATTGATCGATGGATATACCTAGTTCTACCACCAAAAAGAACGATGAGACTTCACGAACGATGGATCAAGGTCCTCGATCCTATGTATTTATATATTAATATGATATATTCGTTGGACCAAATCTTAAAATTGCTCCCACAATATAGTACATGGATATACTGTATGCTATAAATAGATCAATGTGGTGATGGTTGTAGCTTGATTATCGTGAATCACACTTGTCCGAGGCGGTTCTTGAGGCAAGTATGATTGTGGTATGTATTAGTGTGGAGGTTGGAAAACGTCGAAACTTCTACTTTCGCTACTGACCTGTTGCTCCGTATCATAAGACCGACCAGCCTCGGAAAAGAATGATCAACTATCATCATACTATTGTTGGTAGTAAAATCCTATATAATACGATGGTTGGGAATACGACGAGCTCCGCTCTGTGTCTACGATAAGTTTAAGAGAGTTGATGAGTGAAAGAGAGTAGAAAGGGTTGAAAGAGGGGGGTGGAAAGGGTTTAAAGATCCTTTAAATTGGTTCTAATGGTTAAATTGACCGTTGGAATGGATCAAATCTCAACCATCTATTAGTATCGGTCGAAATCCAACTATTGCCGACCAGGACAGGTCGGTAACAGTCGAGTTTCGATCATGCCGCCTTGGACAGACCATGTATTGCCCGATATAGGGTACCCAATTTGGTCGGACCTCATAAAGGCTAGTTAGGCCCTCTTGTGATGGGTTGTCAATCCATTGGCCATGAATGAGTGCATCATCCATACAAGATATTATTGTGTTTTATCAAAAGCGCATCTTTATTTATAAACCTACCATAAGTATCTTAAAATTGGATTGCTACATCATAGTCCTTAAGCATATACCGCACTTTGCTTAATGCATATTCACTTTATCTTGTCAGCATTGTTTGGTACAGGCATCTCGAGATAGGCTTCCCAGTGGGAGGAAACAAAAAAGAAAGGGAAAATCAAAGAAAAACAATGCATTATATGTACTTCTAAAGACATTGCTGTCGTTACTATTATATGTACTTCTAAAGACATGCCTGTCATTACTTTTATGATTATCTTATAGACTCTGATACTTTATCATTGTTGCCTTTGTTTCTTGATCGTTGCTCATAAACTTACAGCCACCACTTGGTTGTTGGTTCATCCTAACTCTAATGCATTTTGTAATAGCAAGGATTTAAATCTCTATCTGATACCATTAATCCAATATATTAGGCGGTATATTGATCTGTATCTCTTGATAACATAAAATAAAATAAAATAAAATCTGATGTTTTTGTATTGATAATGAGATATGTTTCAATATTAATACTTGGTTGGATCATTAAATATTGGTCTGTGTTGGTTGGAATGGACAAGATTTGGAATTTTGTATAAATATAACCAATGTTTACCACCTAGGCATCAATATCATGACCATGGTTGCTAATTCGCTCGGAAAGGTACATACCAATCAATTTACCAATTTGGGCATGAAAAAAGCCATGGGTTGCTCCTACTTAGTGTGGTTTGGGGTATGATAATGGGGTTATCAACCAATAATCCCTTTCAACTTATGCAAGATCTTACGGTGGCTCCTCATTGCTTGCTTGGTCCTTTGAGCTTTATGGGGCTTTCGACTTGAGGTATTTCTCTTAATATGTGCGGTCCATTGCACATGCCCACTAGAGAATCAGGATTTGTCTCCCTTGGATAATTGTCCCATTGGTGTTACTTTTCTCTTTGCATACTTCTTCAAGAAGTTTCAAAGACCATCGTTTCCTTAGACTACTCTTTCTTGTTAAACAAATTGTGTGTTATTTTGCTATCATGAACGCACTTGTTAGATCGTGACCCTTCGCCAATGTAGCTCTTCGTAGTATCGTTGTGCCTCACAAGGCCTAGTAATGTGCTGAACCCATTGCACTATTCAACGTTATACATATGTATCCATCCCATGTCGAAGAGAAAGTTTTTAGGGGACGGTATGCGGACCGTCTTCTACTGGGTTGTACCATAACCCGACTCCATATCAAGCGATATAGGATCTATACCAGTTGGTAACGGTTGGATTTTGACCATTACCAATCAAGGGTTGAGATCGAGCTATTTCAAATGGTCAAATTGATCGTTTGAACCATAAGAAAGGGCTGAGATCCCTCCTCTTTTAACTCATATCACTCTCTCAATCTCTTCAACTCTCTCAAGCTTATTCTTACTTATATCTCTCTCTCATTCTTAAATTTTCACTCTCCTAAACTCAACAAAGCTATGATTTGTGGATTGGATCAAATTTGGGAGGATTAAGAGGAAGATCCCCTTGGTTAGAACATGGCTGAAGGAGCCTGACAACATAAAGTTAGATTACTCGAGGAATTAGAAATACCCAACCGTCACAGTCGTCCGCCCAACTGTCATGAACTTAGTTGGAATTGTTTAAGTTGTAAGGCACCCTTGTGGCAATATCACGGATTTAGTTGGAATTGCCTAACTCGTGAGGCACCCTTGTGCCAAAGTCACTGATTTGGTTGGGGTTGCCTAAGTCGTGAAGTACCCCTGTATTAATGTCACAGACTTAGTTGGGATTGCCTAAGTCATGAGGTGCCTTTGCGTTATCCGCAAGGTTCGCAATACCGTACCGTACCGGTATTTCGACCTGGGCTCGGTACCGGTACGGTACGGTATACCGAGCGGTACACCTGAGTGTACCGAGTACTGCTTCTTCATGTTGTAGGGAATCTTTAGGCTCGTAATTGGCTTTTGTTTGGGGAAGCTTTCGCCACTTCAGTGATTTAAAAAGCGCTATGTGCCAAAAGGCGGCAAGGTCCAAAAACGCTCGAGGCGCTAGGCGCTCGCCCGAGCGAAGTGAGGTGCTAAATTATAAAAATATATAATATAATTAATAAATATAATTATTTAAATTTTTAAATAAAAATATGCTATTAAATTAATCTAATAAATATAAATACTATTACTAGTATACAGTTAATAGTATACTATCAAAAGAGGAGAAGAGTGTAAGGGAAGAGTCGGAAGACCCAGGGTGTTGACTAAGAAGAGCGGGAGCGGTAGCTGTGAGCGACGACAGTGGCAGCGGTAGCAGCGATAGCGGGAGCGGCAAGCGGCGACAGTGGCATCGGCAGTAGCGAGCAGCGGGAGCGGGAGCGGGAACGGAAGTGGCGAGCGGAGACAGTGGCAACGGTAGCAGCGGCAGTGGGAGTAGCGATAGTGGGAGCGGCAGCGGTAGTAGCGAGAGTGGAGAGCAGCGACAGTAGCGTGAACGACAAGCAGGGTTAGGGTTGGGGAAGTCACGCTGATATCGGTGCTTTAGTTGGTTCAGGTCGCCTGGTTTAACCCAGGCGCTCGCCCGAAGCGCCCGGCGCCTGGGCTTGGGCAAGCGCCCAGGCGGTGCCTCTTTGAAGCGCGCCGCCTGGAAATGAAGCGAGGCGCTCAGGTCTCGCCTCACCTCGCCTGAGCGCCTTTTTAAATCACTGTGCCTCTTCACTAAGTATTCGGTCTAGTATGCTCTGATGGGTAGCTTTGTCTTGCGATTCGCTAAAATGGTTTTAACTCGCTTCTCGTAGGAGGCTTTAGTGGGGAGTAGCCGAGTTGGAACATTTCGGGAAGCATCCTATGGGTCTGAGTGGTAGGCTTTCAGGTTGCTTGTGTGGAAGACTGAATTTTGAGCCACACTGACAGTTGGAACTTGTAGGAGCCATTGCTTACCCTGTTGATAATTGGGAAGGGTCCTTCGTACTTGCTCACTAATACCTTGTGCACTTTATGCCTAAAGAACTAAAGTGATGCTGGTCGGAGCTTCACCAACTTTAAACTCCTATGGTTGCCTTCCCAAGTCTGCTCATTTGGTCGCCTTCTCCAATTAAGCCCGTACAATATCTGCATTTCGATGCTATTCCTTTGTAAAGTGATATGCTGACAGACTACTTTCGGTGTAATCGATCGTCAAGGTGTGAGGAGTCGATGGCTGCTATCCTGTAATGATCTTGACGGGGCTCTTGTTATATGCAAAGCTTCGCTATAAG